TTGCTGTAAGGGTAAGGGTTTGGTTGTTGGGTATGTCTACTTACATGGTATTGTTTCTACTTGTTTGTAGCGGCATGTGGTCGCGGACTTGAATGGCAAAAGGAGGTTAGTGTTCTTTCTAATCTTATGTGCTTATTTTTGAAGTTCTTTTAATCTTTAAAATAGTGCGGCTATGCCCTATGCACAGTGAGTATGTATGTTTTCGGGATCGGGATGTATCAGAATTGGAAAATCCTTGAGTGACTTGTGTCCACTGCCTCTCATTTTATAATTTACTGGTGAATGACCCCGTACTAAGTACGGGGAAATTAATTATATATATATAGTATTAAATTCGTAATTAAATTATATGAATATCATAATAAATAATGTTAATCAATATAATTTTGATAAATTTTGTCAATAAATATTATTGGTAAGTACTGTTAATTATTAGAATATTTTTTAAACACCGGAAATAAAAATTACAAACACGTGTCCTTGTATTACTGTTAATAGATACCAATAATAAATATTATTTATAAGGTAAAGTTTTAAAATATAAACTGTTATATTAAAGACTGTTAATTAATATTGCTAACATTTAAAGAATGTATTACACGTGGGATGCATGGAGTGTTGGATTTGACTTTTGCTATTTAATCATTTTTTAATTAGTCATATTTAATTATTTAATCAATTTTATCAATTTTTTTTTTAATTTTTAAACATTTATTAATTGTCCAATTATTTTCTTATTCAATTAGTCATATTAATTGCTTGATCAATTTTTTATTTGAATAAATTAAATTATTTGATATTTTTCTTGTTAATTTAATTCTTAATTAGTAAATTACTTAATCATTTTATTATTTAACTATCAATTCTATAGTGAATAATCAATTATATTTGTTTAATCATATTATAGTACTTTTCTCAATTTGTTAATTATTTAATAATGTTTTTGTTTAAGTAAATGTTTATTGAATAATTTTGTATTTCTCTTATCAATTTGTTACATATGTAAATGAATTAATTAATTTAGTTAAATTAATTGAATTAAGGTAATTATTGATTTACTTTGAAAGCAACGTTTACTTTTTTTTTTCCTAAAAGTAACATGTGCTTACCCATGAATGAATTGAATTACTATTTATTGAAAATGTGGGTAGTTGAATTTGAATTCTTTTTCCTATAAAAATGGGAAAGTGGGCTTTTGAATTGAAATTTTATTTGTAAAAATGGGATGACATGTGGGAGGGGGCTTTGGTATGAAAGTCTTCCTTTAATATATATACTAGTGAATAACCCCGTACTAAGTACAGGGAATCATTAATGTTAAGTTTACATTATGGAATCAATATTGTTAAATTTATATTTATTAATATTTTAAATAATTATTAAAATTTCAAGAAATATTTATTTCAAAAAATAGCTTTTCAATAATTATTAGAATATGAATGGTTTTTTTTTTGTTATGATACATAGAGGGTTAATGATTAACTGAGATTAATAGAATGTATGCAGAAGTGGTTGTGGATAACCACTTCTGCATTTTTTTAGGAATGGATTGAAAATGGTGGTAGTGGGTTGTGGGTTTTAGCAAAAATTTTTCATAAATTGCCACGTGTCTAGTCTTATAGAAAATGTTATCCATCATGTTGTCCTTAAACTCTTCCCTATTGCACATTGTGATGCATTAGACTTTGATCGTTAGACAGTGTATGCCCTTAGCTTCAATTAGTTTGATGTACTATTACATTTATTGTAAATGAATAAAAGTACATAATTGTTTCATCTTATAATTGGTTTGTTTTTGTGTAATTACTCTTAAATTGAACACTTGTGAGACTCGTGTTAGTTTATAATGTTCTCAACCGTTGGATAGACTTGCGGAAGTTTATCTTGTCAAGGTTGACACTGATGTGTTATCAAAAACGTTGGGGTAGCTTGTCTCAGCTACCAGGGTTGGACCCAAAGAACATGTACTGTGTATTTGTTTGAAACACTAAACCTAGACCAATTTTTATTTATGCCCTGGACCTTGGAAACTAGTGGGTAAAATTGAAAAGTTGCACATAACTTCTAGACTCGATTATGATACTATAATGGGTATCAGATTGGGTTATCTTTGATATGTCAATCAGTGAGATCCTTTGGGAGTTAAAACCTAGGTATGTTGGGGCAGTTTGAGAATTCACTCGAGTGGGTGATCATAGTGACATGATCAACCCCTTTGTTGGACAAAGTAAATGATTAGGGCTGCACTCTTTCTGATGGAAACCAAAACTGTCGACAGTCGCTTTCAAACTTGTGTGATTTGTTTTGCAAAATATACCGAGGACCCATCTGAGTAGAGAGTGCAACACTACACCTTGCAGCCAGGGGAGAGGTCATTCCCTGTTGGGTAGATCATTATGGACTGAGAGGTTGAGTGTAAGAGACCATTTAGGGATGTTTACTTGATGAATTATATCTTATTTAAGTCCATTGTCCTTAGGCCTTCATAGGATGACTGGACTCAATGATCATTTAATGTAAATATTGGGCCCATTAAGAGCCTATATTGATGGACTCAGGGGTTCACTGTACTTGACAGAATTCGGCCAAGCCTTTTCACAGAGGCTGGGCTGAACCCATATGTGCTTATGTAGGGTTATTATTGGGGTCACATGCCATACAAAGTGAACCAAATGGGCCAGCAACTACCTAGGGATGTGATCCACTTGCTTAATGGGCCTAAAATCCATGATTAATTGGATTAATCAAGTGGTTACATTACAACTTAAGCAGTTATGTGACTTGAGCGAATATGGGTTTGGATAAGGGTCTAGATCAACCATTAGGATAAGAGGATACGTCTTATCCGCTTTAAGAGTCCAAATCCAAATAAAGGTTTGGATTAGAAACCTCTTAATTCGATTAGGAGTGGTGATCCTTAAAGCTAAGAAAAGAAGAGAACGAAATCTGCTCCAGATTAATCTGCTCTCAGATCCCTCTCTCTGCTCTTGCCGCCCTAGAAACCTTAGTTCGTTTTTCACCTTGTGGTTGATCTTGATCAGTCTTGATTTCTGATTTTTTGCAAGAAAACATCAGAACAATTTCGTGCTCACTTCCCTTGTTCGATCCAAGGTGTTGGATTACGATTTTACTGAAAATTGTGTTGCTGAACCGACATTAATTCAAGCTGCGCCATCTTCAATGGATGCTGGTTTTGAAACTCTCTTTAGGCGTGAACTGTCACTTTGAGAGTTACATTTGTGGAATTCGTATCAGGTATATTTCTTCTTTTATTTGGTTTCAAATCTAGTCTAGTTTCGATTCCTGGAAGGGTAAAAAAAAATTTTGAAATTTTGCCCAGCCATCTAACATGGTTTGACTATCCATATGATGGATTCCCCTTCCTTTAGATGAGGTTTATCAGCCTTTCATGCTGACATTCTTTTGTTGAGAAAGACCATCTCATTCCTTTCCTCCCAAACTACATGGTACAACAACTCTTAAGACATCGCAGAGAGGCTCAGTGACTTTGTATTATATCATTGAATCAGGGTATGTTTACTTTGTTTGTATTATAACACCGTTCCAATGGGAAGGGCTTGGTCTTGATCTTGCTTGAAAACTGGAGCCTTTCAAGATTCAAGTTATTCTGACCAATTCCTATGAGATTGAATTCTAAAATGTTAAAATCTTACATAGTTTTTACTTAGTCATTTCTGTATTCATAATTCATTCTATATATGGTTTCCATTTTATGCTTAATGTTTTGTAAATTTTATGAAAGAAATTTGCATGTGTTTCTCCCCTCATATTCCCTATTTGACCAGTTATTTTAGACCTGCCAAACCATCTCAACTTTCGAAAATTACATGTCACCTTCTACCCTACTTGCTTCCAAGCATCCAAGAATTTAAAACTAGATACAGAAAAAGTCATTATTCATAGGCTCAAGAAATGACATTAGATTACAAGTTGCCTTTGGAAGATAAAGTTCCTGCTAATAACTATGTTCACAAAGGTCAGAAGCAGCCTTAGTTGCTTTTATGCTACACTAAGATATATTGATTCAATTAATATGAACTTATGAAGCATTATAGCTTATTTGCTCCATTTTGGCATCCATTGAATTTATTTTATTTATTTTTGATGAATAATCCATTGGATTTAATTTGTTCATGGATTGTAATTGCCCATAGAAAGGTTTAATTCAAGCCATTGATTTAGTGGCATTGGGGAATGAACCCAATTGTTTAAATAGAAGAGATGAAAATCTCTTGTTATGACAATTTTCACCCTGTCTCATGATATTAGATATAAGATAATAAGGCTTTTATGTCTCACTTAATATGTTTTAACACAATGTTTTCTTGTTAGAGAAAAAATTGGCTAAAAATAGAAAAAACACAAAAAATTGCAAATAAATACAGAAAAATATTGAAAAAATACAAAAAAAAAATAGAAAAATAAAACAGAAAAAATTCAAAGCCCACCGCCGACCGTCGCTGCTCCTTGTTGATGCTGATTACAAGAAGATTTGCTGTAGATGAAGCCCTTTTGTGAGGAATGAAGGTTGTAGTCGCCGGTCGTAGTAAATGAAGCCCTTCTGTGAGGAAGGAAGGTTGTAATCGCCGGTTGCGTTGCCGATCGCCATAGATGAAGCCCTTTTGAGGAAGGAAATCCATCGTAGTCGTGATTCACCATTGGTTGTGGTTACCGCAGGTTGTCGGTCGCGCCATTGGGGTATGAGGTCTAAGAGGAAGGAAGGCTGGAAGGGTTAGAATGAACTCGCAAGGCCGGAATTGGGGGATATGAATGTCATTTTTTGTTTTTTTTAATCCAACTAAAATAAATTTCACAACCCGCGAACTACTACCCGGGTCGAACTGTTTAGCGATTCAACTTCCAGGGTCAACAGTTTTTTACCTTTTCAATGGTTATATAGGAAATAGCAGTTTATAGTATAGCTGGAACCGAGGGCTGAATAGTTACCAGTTTTTTCCGGTCCGACCGTTCGGTCCGATCTGATTTTGAAAACCATGCTATAAGATAATCTTACAAATTACAGGTGGCCCCTCAACTTTTTTAAAGGGTTGTTAATGAGGTCCGACCAAACAACTTCTAAGTAGCTGCAAAAGCGCAGCTCCTTACATGACCAAAGAGTTGTTAAATCTTTTTTTTTAAAGGGTTGTTAAATCTCCCCAAAGAATTTATTCGACCAAAGAGTTGAATGATCGATTTGGTCCTCCCTCTTAAATTGGTTCCTCCAAAGCGCAGCTCCATACTCTATTATTTGCCTTTGATGGCAAGGTGATTGTATAAAATAAAGGGCAACTTTCTTAAGTTATCCCTATGGTTTAACTAATTGATTAATTCTATCCCTACATTTGACTATTGTCTTAAGGTATTCCTATTGTTTTTTATAATTGATTAGCTCTACCCTTATTGTTAGCATCCGTGAATATTCTGTTAAAAGCCATACACATGTGACACCACGTAATGTATACATTTTTTTAAAACCCAATTTTACACTTTGTCCCTCTCCCTCTCCCTTCTTTTTCTTCTCCTCTTTCATTGTCTTCTTCCTTTCAACAACAACAAACCCAATGGTGGTGATAACCCCCTTCACCGATGTGGTTTCGGTTGCTGTCGACCAAAGTAGTGATCGATAACCTCAACTCCAACTCATGCACAACAACATTGGTGGCCAATACCTCCACCTTATGTTTGTCAAAGTCGATGTATTTGAGCATACAAGAAAAACATAATCATGATTCCTCGGGTCTACGATTCAAGTTGGGTTGGATGAAGCTATTGGTACTTCGGGGTAGTATTAATTAGAGGTTTGGGTGGTCGCAAGGTGCTATCGTGTTAGGAAGACCAAAATTACGGCGGAGGGGATGATTAAGTTACGATGGTGGTGGGTGGTCTTAGATTCTGGTTTGGTGACAGATTCAATGGAGTTGTAGAGGTGTGGCGGAGGGGATGGTTAAGTTATGATGGCGGTGGGTGGTCCTAGATTTTGGTTTGGTGACAGATTCAATGGAATTGTAGAGGTAAGGAAGATAGGGGGAAGTGGTGAAGGGGACTAGGGGAGAGGGAGAGAGGGGGCGGGGGAGGGGGGGGGGATCAGAGGAGAGGGAGATCGAAAGACTTAAGTGGCATTTGATAGTGTGTAAATATTGGTCCTGTCCACGGTAAGATATGGTGTTCTATTATGTGTGGACGGTCCTCGTCCATAAAATAGCGTGAACAAGGATAGGCCACACCCCAATTTATTGTCTATAGTATTTTCTCGTGGATGGTCCACATTATGGTGTGGACAGTTTGTGGGAAGGTTTCAGTGTAATGCACATGTGTTACATTAGTCCAATTACTCTCATTTTATTTAATTTTTTAATAAATTTTAAATTTGTATTTTTTAACATTAATTAAAGCACAAGTCCGACGATTCTCCTTCTCAACTCTTTTTTCATTATTTAAATATTAATTTTTTAATATTTTATTAATGAAATAATATTTAAAATATTAATTTTTTATTTTTAATATTTAAAATAATGTTTTTTAATTACTTAAAAAATGCAGTTGTTGTCTACATATTGATGCATTTTTTTTTCAATTTATTTACCATATAAAATGCAAAAATTAGGCATTTATGATCGACTATGTAGGTCTTCCATAAAATGTATATGAGATATATGGAATCAAAAAGTGTGGTGTGGGCCAATCTACACCACACCTATAGAATGCCACTGTGGGTGTGGATTGATCTGGTCCACACAATCTATCAATAGTTTAGAATAGTTGTGGACCGTGGTGTGGTGTGGAACCTACCAATTTCTCATCCACACTACAGAACATCCTCTTAAACTACTGCCGCTAAGAGAAGAAAAGAAAATCAAGGGATGAGGAAAGTGTTTGAATGGCCAAAAAAAAAAAACAAAAAGTATGATGTGAAATCTGATTTCTTCTCTTTTGTTAGCCTACATGAGTTTCATTTTCATCCTTTAAAGATGTGGATATCAACAAAGGAAGACAAAACCATTGCTTCTCTTTTGTTAGCCTACATGAATTTTGTTTTCATCTTTTAAAGATGTGAATATCAATAGAGGAAAAAAAGGGATTTTTTTCGTGTTTCTCTTCTTATCTCTCGGGAACCTTTCAACTCTAGAAACTGAAAAACAAACTATTCTACAAAATCACAAAAACAATGACTAAGGTGAATATGGTTTTTTGTGGAATCGTTAATCAACCACCGCCTTTCCTCCATTCGCTCCTCCTCTACCCCAACCTCACCTCCTTTTACCTCCTTTTCCCAACTTATTTCCTTCTCTTATCTCCCTATCTCCCTTTTTGGACATCTCAATGGGATCATTGCTGCTCCACTGGAGTTATCATAGTGACGGCGTAGTTATCATAGTAGTGACAACGGTTGTGTACAATGGATGTAGTAATGGCAGTGGCAGTGAATTTTTTTCAATAGATGGCTTTATTTTGAAATTTGAAAAATAATAGAGGATAAATTTAACATTTTATTTTTTTGTGTTATGATTTAATGATGATGACACATTAAAAACACAATTTAAAAACAGTAGAGGTATAGTTAGTCGATTTCCTAAGCTTTAGGAGTAATTTAAGAAATTTGTCCTAAAATAAAGGGAAAATTCCCGAACTTGGTCCTCGAGTGACAATTTGGCCCCCGAACTTAAAATGTGACAATCTACCGTTAACTAGTCCGTTAATCAGCCATTAATTGATATTTGAAAAGTCAAAAATACCCTTTGAATGCCATCTAATTTTCTTTATCAACCATTCTTTATCAACCGTTCAAACGTTGACAAAAAAACTGAACAATCCCAAATCCTAGCTTTTTCTATTAAAAAAGTTGGTGATTGTTTAGAAGAATTTAGAATTTAGGACTGTTTATTTTATTAATGTTTGGATGGTTGGTAAAAAGAATTAGATGGCATCTGAAGGGCATTTTTAACTTTTGAAATGTCACTTGACAGCTGATTAACGGATTGGTTAACGACAAGTGTTGGATTGTCACATTTTGAAAGTTCAGATATTAGATTGTCACATTGTAAAAATTTGAGTATTAGATTATCGCATTTTAAAGTTCAGGAACCAAATTATTTCTCAAGCCAAAGTACTGATCCTGAATTTTCCGTAAGATAAAATATTAATACCCACAAAGCACCAAACACAAGAAAGCTATGGTCTGATGGTTTCTGTGGCATGAAAAGTTAAAGCGGAATTCATCTAGCACATTCACGGCACTCTAAATATACAAGTCTACACGCACAATGCATAAAGGCGAAGGCTTCTCTCTCGTATTGTTTACGACGTGGCTTTGTGAAGCCCAGAGCAGGATGCAGTTTATAACCGGGGCTATTAATAAATTATAAGGCAGAATTCTACTCGGCAACATGAATCCGTGTGCACAACATTGGACAGGTGTCAGGTGGTAGTGTTACGACTATGAGGTGAATAGTGTTGTTTGTTGATTGTTACTAGTGGATCTGAAATTGTTGGAAGTTGGAAGGAAAGCTGATGTGTCCAAACAGTAGATGCATTCCCATTTCCAGGTTCTACTTGGAGTTCTGTTTACAATTCTATTCAAGGAGAGTTCATAATATTTGGTCAATCATAATATACCACATCAGCTCCGTACACCTGACTTGGTCCTACATATTAATTTTCAGAGCTCTCTGCCTGAGTTGCCACTTGTCACTTTCTACTTGCCACGCGTACAAGTAATTAAACAAGATAATATGTTCTTTGTAATAACCCACACTAGAGAGGCAATATGATTATGATGCTGTACTCTGTGATGTAAAGAAAATGTACCAGCTGAGCGATGTATCTCGATTCTCCTTTATGCTGTTTTTGTGTTGAAATAAAAAGTAGGGAAATCAATACAAATCTCAAACCAAACGCAACCTTAATAATGGGCTCCACTGTGCGCCATTCAGAAAAGGTAATCTACACGTACACGCCTGGTCGGGTAGGTCATCTCATCTGTGCCTGTGGCCTGATCCGTTGCTCGTTGGGTACTTGGGTTGGATTCACGACCTCGGGATTCAAATTCCACAGATTATAAAATTCATGCATCTCGCGGCTCTAGAATCCAACGGATAGGAATCAGGATCGTGGATGTGGGCGCGGACAATCACATTATTAATTACGCATCAATACGTAATTAACTTGTTTAGTAACCAGAGAGACGGAGACAAAAGGTGACAACATCTGTTTATTGATTTCCGCATCTCAAAGCCATTTCCCGCTCTCGGAGCTCTTCCATCTTCAACCTTCAACTTTCTTCGTTGCTTGCAAGAATAATATATATAATTCCATTATTTTACGGCACCGGAGGAGCAGCCCGAGGCGACAGATTCGTCATCAATGGCAATGGGGTGTTTATTTGTAATTTGCAGCTGTAGTAGTAGAACCTCTAGTGCCAGTAATACCGTCGAGAACTGTCAGTCTCAGGTCAAAGCCCTAGAAGCTAGAACTAGAACGTCTACAAACCTTACAAGGACCTACCAGTCTGCAGCTTTTCTGGCGCTGTTGTTTTCTGTCTCCCATGAAACCGCGTGGGGTGCTACTTCTGTTCTTCTCCTTCATCTTGTTCCCTCCACTTCCCGTTTCCAACAGCCTTCTCTCTCCCAACGGTGTTAACTATGAAGGTAGTTGGCTTCTGAAAAAGCTTACTTTTGCCTTTACTGCTGTTCTTTTATTTTCGGGGATTTTAATATAAAGTATAAACATAACATATTTTTTTCCTTTTCTGGGTTTGCTAGTTGCTACTTTGATGTCTTTAAAAAGTAAGTTGAAAGATACTCTTCATGTCCTTGATGGATGGGATATTAATTCGGTTGATCCTTGCACGTGGAATATGGTTGGTTGTTCTCCTGAGGGTTTTGTAATTTCTCTGTAAGTTTATGTTTTCTGAAAGAGTGTAAAGAAAGTAAATATCAGTTTTTTTATCCTATATTGAGTTTATTTGAGTTGTATGTTTTGCTTTTATTTTATTTTTGAGTTTGTAATTCTGTCCTTTTTCCTTATGCTTCTTTTTGTGGTTTCTATGACAGAGAAATGGCTAGTAAGGGATTGTCAGGCTTGCTGTCTCCAAGCATTGGGAATTTGAGCCACCTGCAAACAATGTAAGTCATGCTACGTTTTGGCCCTTCTGCGGCACTCGTTGATTCAGAATTTCAGATTAGTTGTGGGCTTGCATTCATATAACAAGTACGCATCTGCATTCTTGGTCCAGTCATTGTCTGAAGTTGGAAGTGCTGTTCGCCTAACTCAAATTTTCCCTAGTTCCTACAGATGTTTCCACTGTAATTAATCCTTTCAATTCAATGGACTAAATAGTTTAAAGCTATCTGACACTTCTGGTAAGTACAAATTATATAGGGTAATATTCAGTCTCCACTGGAAAGAGAATCTAGTCTTTCAGAAGTTAAATATGGTAGTTTTACAATATAACCTAAAAACCAGAAAGATTGGGAAATCAAGTATTGTTGGACCGTATCGTAAAAACTGATGATTCGTGAACACACTCTCATTGAGTCAGTCATGAGTGCCCTATTGTATACATCAATTATTGGCTCATACAGAAATATTTGTTAGCTTTTTCTTATTTTCTTTCAACCAAGCGATAAACACGTATGGAGAACCAACCCAATTAGAGCGTGGTTATTTGATCACCACTCGGTCTCAAGAGTGAATACATATAAATATTCTAAAGAATACTTGAAATATTGATGATTGATGTTATTAAGACTTCCCTATATGTGATTCTGGAATGGAAAAATTAAAATTCAGACAAAGTTAAGAATTACGGTGCTTTGACAGAGAGGACCAATCTGAATCCTTGAAATAAAGATTTCTGTTCTCTCCAAGTGCCATGAAGTAATGAAAAGTCATTGAGGACTTACAATTTAACAATGGAAGGATAAAGTGGAATGCTGAAGCAGGATATATATAGCTGGTCTTATATGATTAGAATGCAGCTTTGTTGATATTCCAACAGAACCTGTATCAGGGGTTTTCTGTGACTATGATTTTGCGTTGCCAAAAGCTTACATAAGGAATATTGCAAAACAACCTATGGTTTGCAGGTTATTGCAGAATAATCTAATATCTGGCCCTGTTCCAGTTGAGATAGGGAAGCTTTTGGAGCTTCGTACTCTTGATGTATCAGGCAACCAGTTTATGGGTGAGATTCCAAGCTCTTTGGGCTTTCTGACTCATTTAAGTTACCTGTGAGTATGCTCTCCAATAGTAATTATCCGTTCTTTCTCATGATTGATTATGTTGCTGGTATGCTAATTATTTATTTATTTTTCTTTGTATTCTTTTAATTAATTCCTAAGATTTGCAACTTTTCAGGCGGCTTAGCAAGAACAAGTTCTCTGGACAGATTCCTAGATCTGTTGCTAATCTCACGGGCCTTTCATTCTTGTATGTATGCCATCATGCTTCAACTTTGTTTTCTTAGTAAGGATGTGTATAGACTATAGAATTCACTACAATAGAATGAAACAGGGATCTGTCATTCAATAATCTTAGCGGCCCCACTCCAATAATACTTGCAAAAGCTTACAGGTAAGATCTTTAGACAGAAAAAAAAAAAATCCTTGGGTATGAAGTTCATTATGGGGTGCCACTTCAATGTGGCAAATGCCTTACTTGCTCCTATAAGTATCTCACTGGAAATGATGCTTATATCATATATTTATATTGTGGGTTTAAATTTATCTCATCTTTATATTGTCATATACAATACTCATGTTGTCTCTTAAGTGTATATTATCTTGCATATTTTGCATATGTTGTCTCTTTCTTCACTGTATGTATCTCTGTTTTCTTTTTTATTGCCAATTTGCTGCTAAATCTAACACCTAAATTTTTAATTTGTATTCATCTTCTATAGTTGCTAATTGCAACATGTAGATCATTATGCATTTGTCCTTTTCTTATTCTGAGTAGCTTGAAGCTATATTGATTATTTTTCTTTGTTAAACTATTCTATTGCCTTGTTGTTTGGTTTTGTAAAATGAGTATTATTTCTTAAAAATTGTGTTGTCCCATAGGTATATTAGAATGCAAATGGCCTCAATGATAATATACAATTACATGTATGTTTGTTCTTTGGTTTGCTAGTGAGTGTCTTGTGTTTATGTTAACTCCCTTGACCAAAAAGCTAGTGAATCTTGAACAAAATTCAAAAGCGTGATGGAAGCATGCTGTGGAGTGGTGGAAGTCAAGGCAAGACAGATATAGAAGTTTTGTGAGAGATTGAAGATCCTAAATGTGAGTCTGCTTGGAAGGTTCATTGCGCTGGATTTGGAAGAAAAGAAAGTGGAAGCTTGGGCGCGGATTCAAATGGGGGAGGGAAAGAGTTTTGGGAGTTGGAAAGCTGAGTGGAGGTTTGTTTTTGTTTATGTTCCATAGCAGAATTCATGTAGAGTGGGTTTTGGAGACAGAAGAGAGAAAGAGCAGGATTGTGATTTGCGATTTAAGATTAAGCTGGTGGTTTCCAGCAGCAAGGATGATTCAAAAATGGAGAAGGAAAGCGATGTGGATTGTGGTCTTGGGTGTTCCACTTTATGCATGGTGTACCTTTACTTTTAAAGTAATTGGGAATTTCTGTGATAAGTTCTTGAGTTTCGATAGAAATAGGAGATGGGAGAAAATTGATGTTGCAAGAATTTTGGTGGAGATAGAAGATATTTCAGATCTCTCAAGTTTGATGGTGCTTTGTTTCACAGGTGAAGATTAGGAGATGAGGTTTTTCGTGGAAGGAGAAGAACATGCTTTTTTTAGGGCTAGAAAAGGCTATGGTTGGAGAGAAGGTTGGGTTGTGGAAGTTGGAGGTCGAAGACGAAAGGTTTAGGGGAAGGCAAAAGGTTGGTTGGAGACAAACGGGTGGGGAAGTAATTTTGGGAGAGGAGGAATGCTCTTTAGTGGGACATGAGGAGGTTGGAGGTGAGAAAGAATCAAACTCATGGGTTACTGAGGTAAGAAGGCCAGAGGAGGTTGTTGAAGGGTTGCTTTTGGCTTTCAATGTTGATGGCCTTGGGAGTAGGGCCCACCTCTTAAAATTGAAGTTGAGGGTTAAAGATATAGACGTTTGATGAAAAAAATTGAGGATTTTCAACCAAAAAAGCTTCAAGGTTAAGTTTTCAAGGATTGGAAGGAGAAGGGTCCGCTTCAAAGATCATGGAAAGAAGACTGAGAGGTGGGTTAGAAAGTTGGTAGGTATGATAGCATAGAGAAGGAAAAGGTTCTCTTGGAGCTGGAGGCCTCTTGAAGCGGGAGGTGTAGAACAACGAAGCTCTATTAACTGGGAGTTTCTATCCGTGACAAGTGATTCAAGTCCACATAGTGGGGGTTATTCTGTGGTGGGCAAGGAGGGCGACCAATAGGTAGGTATGGCTCTAAGCTTAAATTTTTGCTCGTTTTGGGTCAAGCTTCATGGAGGAGTGATTCAGGAAGGGAGAAGGGATTCAGTGATTCAGTTTGATGCAAGGTTAGGAGGAAAGAGAAAAAGGAGGCGGACTTGGGAGAAAAAGTGGAGGAAGCTGTAGGGAGGGGGGTGGGAGTGCTAAAGAGGGAGATGGGGAGATAGGTGAGAGGGTTGAAGATGGAAGCCAAGAAGTAAGTTTTGACCCTAAAGATGTTGGTAAGGAAGAAGAGATTGGTAAAGTAAGAGGCTGTGAGGACTTATCAAGGTTTGAAGTGGTTGTTGGGAGTAGATTTAGGTTGGAAAAGGAGATTTGTAAATTCAGATGGAATCGGGGGTCAGTCGGAGGTGTTGAAGAAAACCCGAGTTGCAAATAAATCCATTTAGTGCATGTTACTAAAGTGTTCTCTAGATTGAAAGAGGGACTGGTAGGGGCTGGTCCAACAAACAAATTCAAGAGAGTTTATAAGAAAAGGGGACTGGAGTTCGAAGGTTCAATTAAGGAGATAATTGAGAAAAAAAATTTGAGACTCAAGTGTTAGATGGAGCGGTGGCCCATGTGTTAGTTGCATCTGAGAAAAAGTTACAGCTAATTGATGAGCTAGAGACTCACGAAAAGGAGGGGGAGGAGTGGAGAACTCTGATGAGTCCATTTTTAATAGATGAAAGAAAAGCGAGGATTGGTGGAGATTGAGGATTTATTTTAAGAGATGTCAGAATTCGCAGGAGTTTAGGCCTGTTCTTTTGGGGTGGCGAAGAATTTGCTAGATGGGCTTTTTGGATCTTTTGAAAGGAGCAAGGAGGAGAGTCCAAAGAAGGGCCCAGTAGTGGAAGGAAGAGAGGCATGGAATGAGGAAGGAGATGGGCAGGAAGAAATGTTTGAAGAAGAATATTAAGGTGTGGGCAAGCTGGCAAAGTGCTTCGTGCACCGTTTCATGAGTTTGGGGATCCAGAGTTTTAGGAAGAAGAATATTTTTTCAGAAAGAGATTTGGAGTGTGGGTTTTTCTTTTACTTTTTAGTTGATGTAATTGTGTTGTGTTTGGATAGTGTTTTTGGGTGTTGCCTCAACATCTGCTGATGTTTGTATTAAGTTTTTATTTTAATGAATTCTTCTTTCTACTTTTCAAAAAAAAATCTTGAACAAAATCATCTAATCTATGATTTCATCGTCTTAATGGTGATCAACAATATGGAGCAAGTAGTTTAATGTTTTACGAAATGTTAAAAAAGTTGGAAAACTGCTTTTACATTGCATCGGTTACTATAATTTAGTTCTTATAGAAATCAGCCACAATTACACATCAATTTTCTTAAATAATTTGTTGAGACTTTTTGGAAGACTTGACATTTCAAATTTCAAACTGGCTTGGGATTTTGGCTGATTTACTCAATTATTTGAAGCTATGTCTGTATTCTTTTAGTGTTGCAGGGAATAGGTTTCTTTGCTCCTCATCATTCATGGAAGCTTGTGGGACTATTCCAGAGCCAGCTAAGCGTAAGTTACAACCTAACCTGGTAAAAAAATTATACATGAATATATTGTAGATGTAACATACTCATAATGGTTTGCTTACAGAAGCTAATTCATCACAAAATTCCAGTGGTCATCATCAATGGGTGGTTGATGTTTCAATAGGTTTCAGCTGTACTTTTGTGGTCTCCGTGATCCTGATTGTTTGTTGGGCTTATTGGTTCAGATGTACTTTTCCCTTTGCATCATATGGTACTCTCTGAAAGAGAATGATTTTTTTTTTTTATATACACATAAAGGGTGAAGGTGATGGAAATGATTTTAGGCTATCTAATCAGCTTATAGTATTTATTTCAGAACAACAAGATTATGAATTTGAGATGGGTCATTTGAAAAGATTTTCCTTCCGTGAATTGCAAATTGCCACCGATAATTTTAGCCCCAAGAACATCTTAGGTCAAGGTGGATTTGGGGTAGTCTACAAAGGATGTCTCCGAAATGGAACTATTGTGGCTGTGAAAAGGTTGAAGGATCCCAATTTTACAGGGGAAGTGCAGTTTCAAACTGAAGTAGAGATGATTGGCTTGGCTTTGCACCGGAATCTCTTACGCTTGTATGGGTTTTGCATGACACCTAATGAAAGGCTGCTTGTTTATCCTTATATGCAAAATGGCAGTGTTGCTGACCGCTTGAGAGGTTTGTTTCTAATGGCTTGGTTGCCTTCTGTGGATTTGATCTTCAATGACATTTTCAAACTTAGTTGAACTTTGAATTTCTTGGGTTAAGAGAAAAGACTACTGCTTTGAGAATGGGCCATTAAGTGTCCTCACTGTTTTATGAACTGTATACAGAAGTGATTCATTTCATAAAAGCAGTTTTCTCCTAAATGGGGTCATTTCCTCATTGCTAAAAAAGGATAGAAATGAGTCATTTCTGTATTTCAAAAATTAACTCAATCCCATCTTTTCATAACTACAATCCCACTTCATATGTTGACAATGGCAGTTAAGATGCTATGAAAAACTCAGGATAAATGATTTCATCACATGTGTTATGTTGTAAAGCTCTCAAATAAGGTTTTCTTTTATAGATGGCATTATCTAATTATGGAACATGTCCAATTCTACTTGAAAATTATTTTCATTTTGGTTTTCAAAGATTGTAAATGTTGACTAATGGTGGTGTAGGCAGGGAGGGTAAGGGAACAAAGGGGTCTACCTGAAAGATCGTAGATGGCTCTGCGAGAGGAGAGAGGAGGAAGAAGATTGCAGAGAAGCTTAGGGAAGGTTGAGGTCTCGATCTGATAGAGCTTATGTAGGGGTTCTGTAAGATTGAGGTGAGGAAGGCTTTGGGCCTCCTCTATTTATAGACCTAAGTCACATAGGAAGGAAGGAAACTTTCCCCAAGTGGGAAATTTTGTTATTCTGTTAGATCTGAGACAGGCGAGCACAAGTGGGGTTTCACCACGTGTCCATGTAGAGATCTCAGGGTCTGGGTTTCCACCTGTCTCCTCAAGATCCACACAAGAGCACGAGTATAGCTACTACCCCCTTCTAGAAGCTTATTCGAATGTGCCTTGGACATTTTCTAGGAATATTTATGTGTTGGTTTGTCATCGCAAATCAAGTGTGGATAGATTGCACTGTTGCGATGTAGTGCTTAGGCAGCTAGTCGTCGCAGCACAGGGGATCACTGTGATGCCGTATCAGATCGCGGGACAAGACTGTGATAGCGAGATTCTTAAACTAAAGCTAGCCTGCTTTGTGCTGCGATGGCGATTCACTATTTCATATCGTGGGGTACTTGCGGGATTGCATTGTGAGGGATTTAGGCTTATGCTGCGATTTGGGTGCATTGTGGTCATGTGTTCGCATGTCCTCCAGTGTAATTCCTTTTACGCCTAAATCTATGTACTTACAGGTGGTCTTTAGGTTATTGATTATTCCATTAGTGAACTACATTTGTATTCTATGAATTATTTTCAAATGACTGTGGATTGATAAGGATTTTACTGGTTTTTTAAGACTTTCTCCACTTGTTGACATGGAACTATTTGAATTCTATATTTGCTTCTTTTTCACGTTATGCAATTAAACTTTCAATAACAAATTCCATAAGAACTTATTGAGTGATCATCTAAGAGTATCTTCATGGTTTGGGTCTTTACATCTACGTGTGTATATATTTGACTATATGTACAATCTACTTATGCTTCGGGCAAACTTAGTTCCTGTGCTGCACCAATTTTTTCTTGTGTCATTTCTTTCTTAGCTTATTATCATGTTCAGATCCTCCTCGTGAACAACCATCTTTGGATTGGAATAAACGGATGCAAATTGCTCTTGGGGCTGCCCGTGGACTGTTATACTTGCATGAACAATGCAATCCAAAAATTATTCACAGGGATGTGAAAGCTGCAAATATTTTACTTGATGAAAATTTTGAAGCTGTGGTTGGAGATTTTGGTCTGGCAAAACTTTTAGATCTGAGGGATTCACATGTCACAACTGCAGTACGGGGTACTGTGGGACACATTGCCCCAGAGTATCTTTCTACAGGGCAGTCCTCTGAGAAAACTGATGTGTTTGGATTTGGAATATTACTTTTGGAACTCTTAACAGGGCAGAAGGCACTGGATGCAGGAAATGGTCAGATTCAGAAGGGAATGATTCTTGACTGGGTTAGTATTTTAGAATATTTGATACTTTCTTACTTTTGTTGCCTCTAGTAATTACTTTTACAACCTCATGTTCACGTAAAAATCTTTGGTGATTCTCTAAATTCATTTATACATTGCAGAGAAAATTATATCACTATCTTTACGATCATTGTTATTATTTTCTGCCAAGTGCTATTCACAGAAGCACTGTCAATTTAGACAAACCATCTTTATCCAAATTTGAATTTTAGCTCTCTCTCTCTCTCTCTCTCTAACCATTGCATTAATCAAAAGTTTTTTCATCTATTGAGACTTGCTCTCAGCAATGAACCTTCTCCTGTTGAATGTTCAAGAGAATTTCTCGAGCATTCAAAACAAAATTGATTTTTTTCTTAATTGGGTCAAGTATGGAACTCTCCCACACGAAACTAACTATTTCTGCCACTTGGAGAGATCTTGTGGCTGATCCAGGCTGGCTGTCCATTACATAGGGAACCTACTGAATTGGCCATGTTCAATCCCACAAACTATATCAACCATATGCCCCACCTAGTATTAGTGACTGATTTTAGATGCTCAAAGTTCTAATATTAAGTACAAAACTTACCTGCAAAAAAGTAAGATTATTTTGCACACATGGGCAAGGTGTTTTGGGCTGGAATTTTTTCCATGAGTGGAGGGTAGGGAGAGGAACTTGGGGACTCCTTTCGAACCCCAAACTAGTTTACAACTGTGCATTTGGTATGCAGCGTTGTTGTTTTACAGTTCCAAATCCTTTATTGATTTTAAATTCCATATCCTTTCTCTGAAATTTTGGTTCTTTTCAAATTCTTTATAATTTCTATTCAACTTCTTCCATAAGCCATCTGACCAAGTCAGTGTAGTCCATACAAGAGTGAATGCTATCCAAATTTATAGTTTGTCTTTCAACTCCATACTGCATTACTTCCTTACATGCACGGAAACTTGTTTCATTTTGCAAGGAACATGCATTTCCTGGTTACTGTTTTGTGTTTCTTAACACCAATGTCATTATAGTTGTGGTAATATTAGGTCTTTCTCAATTTTCATACCTTCTTTTTGCTTATCCATATAGCTGTTAAATAATATAATCCATTGGAGTGGCAGTAATGTTCTTTGAGGTTAAAATAAGGTGTTATTGCTTTGTTTAATTTTTTTTAGCTGTTTGCTGATACTAATGTGCCAAAATTGTGCAGGTTAGGACCTTGCATGAGGAGAAGAGACTGGAAGTTCTGGTGGATAGGGATCTGAATGGATGCTTTGATGCAGCAGAGCTGGAAAAAGCAGTTGAAGTGGCCCTGCAGTGCACACAATCCCATCCTAACCTCCGCCCAAAGATGTCAGAAGTCCTTAAGACGCTGGAAGCGGTGATCAGACCATCAGTACATACAGAAGAACTTGAAGTTGAAATGCCCAGTGGAGGAAGGGCTTATGGTTTTTCCAAAAATTACGGTGATGCTCTTGAAGAGTCTTCATTTATCATTGAAGCAATTGAGCTATCTGGCCCCAGGTGACATACATACAATTTCCTTTTCTACACTTGAACTTGTGGGTTTGTATTTGGTAACAAAGGAAAATCTTTGAATTTACATGCACATTCGAAGCAATGTTTATGTTATTAACCTGTTGTTGACCTGTATGGTAAAACCGTTTGACCGGTCACCTGGAGGTCAAGATGGTCCGAGTCAACCCAAACCCATTAATATACAAAAAAGTTGACTTAGTTAAAAAAGTTGAACTGTTCAATCCAGTCTTACGGCTCATACCCTTTTATGATATCAACTTTTATGTCATAATTTCTATTTGTTAAAAATGATTTGAATATTAGAACTCATTTGACCAACCAGTGAATCAAATAGTCAAACCTGAAAAGAGACTACTTGTGAGTTGTGACTGATGATATGAACAGTGAGTCTTCGTTCTCTGCCATCTGCTCTTCTTCAACTGTACATTTTTTCTATCTTTTATATTACATTTACTTATATTTAGGTTTTAAGTTGTATGCCCTAATATTATAATCTAAGGGTTTGGACTGTTATGTTGATGGTTTGACATGTTCAAACGAGTTCAGCTTCAGTCAGGGCAAAGTCCATTCGGGCTGCTTTTACTGCCTTGCATTGAGAATATCTCCGCACTTGTGTGCTTTATTTCATGGGGAGATATTTCTAATGCAAGGTTGCAAAAGATTGTTAGAATGGTGTGGGCACAGATTTGCCCTGATAGAAGCCCATCTCGTTCAAACCAGCTGGTTGAATCAGTGGCCTGTCACCCAGAAAGAAAAGTAGGTTGGTCTCTGATTCAGTTTAAAGACTTACCCTTCATGCTCTCTCTCTCTCTCTGTACCCATAGACTTGGTTGAATGTCCAAGCTAAATAGGTTTCTCATCAAGCAAATGATTTTTTGTATATTAACAGGTTTGGGGTTGAACCGGACTGTCTTGACCTTCAGGTGATGGATCAAATGGTTTCAGTCCAGGTCAACAATGGGTTGAAAAACACAATCTGTAACTGAATTGAAAAGAAATGAAAAAAAAGAAAGAATAAGATAATTGTTATGAAGGAAATAGTTCATACTTAAAACCTCCCCTGTAGTCTGAGTCTCTGACGACTGCTTTAACCTCCACATTTCGCCTAAAACTATACAAACTCACCCCTTAGGCTCAGTTTGGAAGGAGTACAAATGCAAATATGTAGAGTGCAAAACCTTATATTTTGTATTATTTTGTATGTATTTGCACAGTACATATTTGCATTTGTACTCTTTTCAAACTCGGCCTTACGTTAATTTATTCCTGCTGCACATTTTTCTTCACTTTTTGTTAGATACGTAGATCTATAGACATACTCAAGAATTATATCAGATGCTCTCCAAAGGTGCTCTCAAGAATGGTGGCTTTCTGGTTTTATCTTTTATTTTAATATACGGGGTTTATCAAGGGATGAAGCAGGGCAAATAGCACCAATGCAGTTTTGATTGGATTCAAATGTGATTCTGAAGCACTATTCCTCCTGTATTTTGAATTAAACTCTGCAAAAGTTCTTGGATTTAACCATTTTGTCATTTTTAGAGGCATGCGTTTGGATGCATGCTTTCAAGTGTTTGATCCACGTTACGTGATTTATGCAAATTCAAAGAACGAGAGATGCAAGAATTAGCGACATCTCTTTGTTTATCATGTGTTCTTGAAAATTTTTAAGAGTAAAGAGAAGCACCCAAAATTGGTATGGACTTCGGACATTTGTTAGGGAAGTCCGGATGAGCTGCGTTTACAGCTGTGTTAGGGGCTATTTCAACCAATAACAACGCCCCACGTCAGCCATCAAATGTATTTATTTACCCCATAACTTCTCGATCTCACTTCGTATGCTTGACTGATGTGGGGCCTTTTGTTGCTGCCGATTAGCATTGGTTGGTCTGTTAGTGGATTTATTTATTTATTTTCGAGGGGAGGTGGTTGCGTATTGCTGAATCAGTCAATTCAGCAGCTAGGAAAAAGGGTTAAGAGTCGACTCTGAACATGATCTCAATATTTGCTTCATCAAATTCAGCCCTTTTAAATGCTTCCTTAGACCACATATATGGAATGCTTACATGTGGATTCCACCTCTGCTGATACATTTGCAACGATACACAATGCCTACCCATCAGAAGGGGTGCTCATGGTTCTGTTCAGTGCAGTTCAGAGAATATCTCAGACCAAATCTGTAAAATACAGTATGAGGATTCTCAGACCAAATCAAACTATTTGGTGTTTTTCTAATATGGTCTGGGCCATTCAATTTGGCTTAATCCAATTAGAAAGTCAAAATAACATATATCATTGCATAAATGATAAATATTGTCTTTTTAAAATCATTAAGTGGGTGTTCTGCGACCTGAATTGTTTTTCTTGTTGCTGGTCTCAAAAAATAAAAATAAAAACCAAAACCATATTATTTGAAAATATGTTATTTCTTAAAACAAATAACGCAAAAAAACATGTTCTTGAATCTGGTTTCAAAAGCATGTTTTCATCTAATTATTCAACATCATGTTCCATAAGTCATATAATTTTTATATTTAAAAATTTTGCTGTTTTTTGTTTTAGAAACTAATATTTTGTTGGTTTCAAAAACTTGCATTGCTTTTTTGAAACAAAACCAACTTGTTTTATTCTTTAAAGACAAAAATAGAGTTCAAGAACATGTTTTTGTTTGTTGATGTGGCAGTTCCAAAAACATTCATATTGTAGAATGCCCCCTAAATCATTATAATTGGTAATGCTATGCAAGCATCAATTTGGCTTAGAATTAAAGAGTGTTTTGAGAGTTTATTTTATTATATATTATATATGTTAACATATTCTGTTTATGGTTACGGTTTGGTTTGGTTTCCTAAAACCAAATTGTTCTAAGTCTAGACCGAATTGAACTATGAATTATGGTTTGGTTCGTTTCGGTTTGGTAGTTTGAATTGTATAATGAATACTCCTACCCATCAGTGTTGTAGTACTCTTTACACCAGTCATACAATATGATGATGTGTCTGATGTGAGGTGGATGAACAGTAGATGATGTATCTTGATGAGCTAGACGATTTGAGTTGATCCAACAACTTGTGCATATAAAGGTCATAGGCCCTGAGGTGGTTTCCTAGGGAAGAGCATTCCAACACGAAAGTCAGGGGGTGTTCTGTAGTGTGGATGAGAAATTGGTGGGTGTGGACTGGTCCACACCACACTCTGTGGTTAGGGCTGCAAGTCGGGCCGGGTTAGGTCAGGTTGAGGCCAACCATAGCCTAACCCTAAATTCGAAACCCCAACCCTAACCCTAACCCAACCCGACCAACCCAACCCTCTAACCCTAACCCTAACTAAATTCCTTCAACCCTAACACAACCCAACCCAACTCGAAGTCAATTTTGGGTTGGGCCCAACCTAACCTTCTTCCCATCCTTTAAAACCTCATAGAATTTCTTGATTTTAGATCTTAACTCAACTTTCACTACATATATTTTAATTCTATGTTTCATTAGTATTTGTTTGTTGACGTTATTTTTTTTTGTTCTTTTAGTACAAAATTCAAAAAAAAATGTGGTAGAAATGACTATAGTTTATTGTGAGTTATGACTTATGATAGATCTTTCTTGTGCGGCAAACAACATAGAGGAGATGAAGAATAAAATTTTCAAAAAAAAAAAAACATAAAATAATGTTATTTAGGTTTTAGTCTTTCTGATTAGGATTAAGTGAAGTGATTATCTTAAAAGAAATACATAATACTATGTGGTGGGGGCTATATAAATATCATGCATCTAAACAAATCAATGTATATTATGTATTACACATAACATATATTTACATATGACATGTATTATAGAGTCGGGTTCGGGTTGGGTCGGGTTAGCTAAGGGGTCAACCCTAACCCAACCCGAAGTAAAGTTGGGTTCATGAATTTCAACCCTAACCCTAACCCGAACATCAACCCAACCCAACTTTTTCGGGTTGGGTTCGGGCCAACCCGACCCAAGTTGTAGCCTTACGGATCAATTCACACCACACCACAGTCCATAGCTATTCTGAACTGTGGATAGATTGTGTGGACCAGACCAGTCTACACCCACATTGGCGTTCTGTAGGTGTGGTATGGATTGGTCCACAACATACTGTTTGATTCCATGTATCTCATATACATTTTATGGGAGATCTAGATAGTCGATCATAAATGTCTAACTTTTGCATTTTATATGGTAAATAAATTGAAGAAAAGGCATCAATATGTAGACAATAATTGCATTTTTAAATAATTAAAAAATATTAAAATAAAAAATTAATATTTTAAATATTATTTTATTGATAAAAATATTAAAAAATTAATATTTAAATAATGAAAAAGAGTTGAGAAGGAGAACCGTCGGACTTGTGCTAGAATTAACATTAAAAATTATTATTTTATTGATAAAATATTAAAAATTTAAAATTTAAAACTTATTACAAGATTAAATAAAATGAGAGTAATTGGACCAATGTAACACAAGTGCATTACACTGAAACCTTCCCACAAAAAATTTAATATTTTTTCGTGTGTTACACGAAAAAATATTGTGGACGATAAATTGGGGTGTGGCATGTCCCTGTCCACGCTATTTTGTGGATGAGGACCGTCCACACATAGCAAAACACCATATCTTACCGTGGGCGGGACCAAAATGGTCCACTCCACAATATATACACACTACTGAACACTACCTTAGTAAGAGAAAGATGATTAATTAGGCCGAATTGGATAGGACGAACTGAGTTTAGATGTAAAGAGAGCTTAGAGTAATTCTCAATGCTAGAGTGCAGAAGAGAGTCTCACCTTGGGCAACATGCCCTTATATGGATATTGGGGGGGGGATTGTTGTTCTTGTGGGACACATGTCAAGCCCTAAAGTAGTAAATAATTGAGATTTCAGGGGCATGTGCCATAAGTTCCATGTGAGAAGGAACGAGGAGCTTGAAACCAATCTTGGCAACTAGTGGGTTTCGGTTGGCATTTACCATATGTCCTCACTTTGTCTTGGGGTTGAAGTGTATACCAACACCTTTGAAGTGTATGGAAGCATGCCACATCACCATTCCTCAACTCGTTCGAGATCTAAACATGTAGTTGTCAACTTAGCCAATTGTCCTTCACCAACCTTCCATGTGGTGGTCCAACTTAGGTCCAGGTTCACAACTATTAACCTCTCATTGTAGTCCTCATATATTTTATCACCGGTGTGGAGCATTATCATTGGTTCCACAGCCTGATACACAACCCTTGCGATGTTTAGTTGATACAAATTACTTAAGTCAAATGATATATATATATATATATATATATATATATATATATATATATATATATATGTACACACACACTAAAGCACAACAGTTTATAATTTTTTTCCTTTTTTTGATTTTTTTATCTTTTTATTCTGTCATTTTTGATACAACTAATGAGATGCTCTTCCTTTCCATAAAAAATTACCCACAATCTCTCTCTCTCTCTCTCTCTCTCTCTCACACACACACACACATGTTCCCAATAACCTAAATAATATCCTCTCCTAAAATTTCTCCTATGCTGCCTCCCCCACTATTCTCCACTTTCCCTAAATTATCTCTAATTTCCATTTATC